GCATTCTTTTCAAATTTATACGTCTACGAAAACAAAGGGAAATAAAAGAAGCCATTTCAAGGAGAGTGTATTTGCCATTGGATGACAACAAAAGGCCCGGCCACATTGAGCTAGAAGGTAATTGTCTCAACCTCTTGTTTCTAACACAGAAAACTCTCTCTGTAACCCGTGAATCTGAAAACCTCCCTAACTAGAAATGTTGATGAAGGCTGAGCAGCGATGGTTCCCATCAGGTGTCCTCACTGCCGAAGACACAAGCAACGCGGAGGAAAACGCTTCGAACCGAGCGCTCCAGCCAGTAAATCTCCAAGGGTGGCATCAGCTTCAATTTGTACTTGGGAGTATTTTTAATTAAAAACAATCAATACCCGAAAGCTTTGATTTTCTGGGTTGAAAAATCACAAATCACAGTAGGGGAATGCCAAATTGCCTTAGCTGGGTGCTCTGGAAGACGGAGCATTTCCTGTAAGGCCTGTTCTTACGCGGTGCACTTCGAAGCAATGGAAATAATCACAAACAAAACAGGACAGCGGTTTGCAAGCGTTCCTCAGCTTTAGGTTTGCTGCACAGCGGTCCCCTGGCTGCCTACTCATTCTGTACATTTGATTCCTTAATAAACACTAACCTACTAGATCATAGAAAACTCAAAGCTTATCGAAGGTGTCTCTGGACATATTTACATGAATAGCGTAGCCTCGCAAGAAACACCCGGTCTCATTACAGTGGAATGCTTTTCCCACAACGCTGGGTCCATGCCTCATTTGTCAGATTAACCCCATTTGGGGAGAAATTTGAGTTTGTGGTCCATGGGTTTAAAAAAAAATAGAATTAAGCAACTTGTAAAAGCTCTTTTGAAATTAATCTAATAAGCCAGTGGCTGTTCAGCTGAGCGCCCCGTCCTGTCTGGGCGCAGCGGGTATAAGGCTCCGTTCCCGGCTGACCTCCCTTCGGCACCTTCATCCGCTGGCTCTGTGGGCCTAATGTACCCCCAAATTAAAAAATGAAAATGCATCATAAATAAGGTATTACAAAATGGGGAGTAGATTAAAGATTGTCTCAGCAATGCTTAAATTAAATTGACGATGCAGAGACCATAAACTTGTGGCTTTAAAAATGAGCTATTTCTTAATTAACTTTTAACAGGCGTGTGAGTCAATGTATTTCTTTGCTAAGAGGGTATTGCTCTGCCCATTGTATATGGTCGGGTCTGATGTATTTTAGTAGAGAATTATCCCTTTAGAAAATTATTCCATAAAGATGCCAGAGGGAGATTCAAAACGTTGCAACCGTAATAGTGCTGAACTAGTAAGAAGACCATGTGAATTCTGTATTGTCTAGTAAAGAAAGCTGCTTGTCAGACCTTACGAAAGAGTTCATCTTTCTGAAGATCCACACACAAAAATCTAGTCTTTCCACCCTTAGAACCTGATACAGAAGGCCACCTTGTCGTGTTAATATAAGCACAGCAGACTGCTTAGATTTTTCATCTCCTGTCACAATTCAAAAAAGATTTCATCTAGATAAAAACACAAAAGACAAAAAAATTACTCTAAAATGATCTCTTTCAAAATAGTGGGGATTATGACTTTTTAGAGAGTTCTTCCAAAGTAATTACAGTACTTCAGAATTAGTGACTAGGGTACAATAATTTATTTGTGGTGAATTTCCTGCAGAAAATACATTTAGCTTGACCTGATTTGAAATATTTAGTTTGTCCTCAGGATTCAAGTCTGTTATTTCCTTTCAACTGCATAGTCTTATTGGTCGTCAAGTATACAGAATTGAGGAATACCCAATCACAGTCTGTACATTATTATCTTCAATAAAATATGCGTTTCAAGGCAAAACATTTGATATAAGGTATTGTTCAGCAAATCAGGATATCTAAAATTTCTGTACTTGACAATGAAAATCCTGGAAATATTTCCAAGTTAATTTGAATTCATAAAATTTGGACGCTTCTAAGATAAAGAATCAACTTTGCAGAACTTTTTGCACAACTTTTTGGGAGCTGAAAATGAAAGCTCAACCACAGATTTTTATACTGAGTTAGAAACTGAATAGGAAATGGAGTGGATTTGTATCTGAATCTCTTTGTATGCAACTAAACTGCAGAGCTAAGAAAAGCTCTGTAAAAACGATACTGACTGTGCCCAGATCCTCTCTTATGGTTCCATGGAGCCATCTTTTCTTCTCCCCCATTAGATTTAGTTTTTTATTTGTGGACAAATATTTTCTAGGGCCTTTCAGCAGAAAGTGGCCATGAAGTGAAGGAGCTTTACATGTATGCACAATGGCTGACTGTTTCAAAATTTCAGCTCATTCCAGAGAACATCTTTGTGGTTTAAAGAAATTCTCCCCTTTGAATGGTGGGTTGGGGAGAGCGACTCAGAAAGGCCTCAAAGTTCCCGAAACAACCTATAAAAGCAATCTGCTTATATTTACTGAATTCTAGTTTCCCAGTGATTAAAGCAAATAGTAAAATTTTACCCTCTTCCCACTTTCCACACTTCTCATCACAAATGTCTACTATGGACAGAGACAATGTGAAAAGTGATTGTTTGTGTTGATCCTGCTCCTTGACCTATATTTTGGTGGGAAGGAAGTTAGACCTGGGCAGAATAATGGAATTGTGATTCTTATTGTTTCCACGATGCTCAAGAATCTTGACTGTAGGAAAATATCACTCTACCTTGATATTAACAGGACTCTACTGCTAATTATCCAGCCCCAGTCTTAACTTATCCAATTTCTTAGAGATCCACTTCATCATCAGGTTTTGTGGTAAGAGCTTAAACATATCTCGATATTTGGTCATATTAACCTGTTCTTGGTGCACGGTGACATCTTCAGGATGGGATAAAATACCCTGCCAATTACATCTCACATATTCCACTACAGAACTACTTACTTTCACTTATGAGGAGAGAGCAAACCTTACCCTTAAATATTGGAAGTTGCTAGTGTCAACCCTCAGACATTCCAATTAACACCAAAAATTTAAAAGGAAGACTTCTGATGATAGCTTTCTTGTTATAGGACTTGCTTGATTCAGTTTGTTATATGACATAAAACATAAGGATAGGAACTCTTCAATTTTACAGTAAGTCGTGTGATTAAGGTGACTTTCTATTGCTATAAATAACTAGTTCTTATTTATTAACTTTACTAAGCTATCTTTTTCTCAGTACTTACCTGTGACTATGTATGATATGTATTGATTCCTTACAGTGAAGCCCTCCTATAGTATTCTGTTTGCATTCCTGTGTGTGTGTGTGTGTGTGTGTGTGTGTAACTAGCAAAAGAAAACCATAAAAGCAGGAAATAACCCAAGCATGAAATACTTGTTAGTATACAGGGAAGTGCTTTACAAAATAGAAAAACATTCAGGAAACACAAGGAATAATATGTTTGTTAAAATTTTTCACTCTAAACGGGAAATCCAAAACACTAAATTTATCTCATTTTAAAGGTGCCATTTTTACTTCCTGGGTAATACACCTATTTAAAACTTAACTAGATGACAGTTTGTTTCCCAGTAGAAAATATGTGCTGATATGACATTATCCCCAAATGGATATGGCACTAAGATTATCTGTAGAAAATTAACATTAATTGAAAATAAATCTCTAAGACTAATAATTGAAGTCAGCATATTCTTAAGTACATATATATATATACAGAGCCTTTTATTTTTATTTTTCAAAATAAGAATGTTTTCATTCCAGTACTTTGGAAATTTCTGATGACTACACAGGGAGGTTCTAATGATAAAAGTCATTAGAACAGCCGTGTGAAATGAGAGATTGGAACCTGCCAAAAGGAATGCTTCAGTTCGGTCCGGCCTTCTGGATAACAACTGTGATGCTAATTGCATAATTAGAGACATAATAGATTGGATGGATTGTACATTACTTTTCTGCCATAGTTTGAGACCATTACTTTATCATTAGTTCAAAGACAAAGATAGCAGAGTTGCCATGGAAACAAAATGGAAAACAATGAAAAGAATATTAGTGCTTCTGAAAGTCAACGATCAGTTTAATGATCATCTTCAACACTCTGGTTGCAGGGAATCCAACATAGGGAATCCCTACGTTAGCGTCTTCCGAGCATGTCATTTGTAGGTTTTCACCACAATTTTGATATTCATCTATATCTATCATGTTATATAAATATATAAGTGTTTCCGGATGTGAAGGACAGGGTATCAGGTTCAAGTGTGGCTGGCTCTTACCACCCTATTAAACTCCGAGAGTGGGATTTAAGTTTTACTTAATCTACCATTACTAATGCAACTTAATTTGGTAAGAAGTATCTGAAGAACATGAATTACTGTACTTCACACGGCTACTTTCAAGTATATATTAGAATAATACTGATGACAACTACAGACGAGGAGTTAAAATTTATCTCAGCAAAGTTCCTTCTAGAACTTTTAAACAATTAGACTTATTTGTAATTAACCTACTGATGGTTGAAATAATTTCAAGTGATCTGTGATACATTTGGTGGCCCAGATTTTAAAATATGCTAAATATTTCCTGTGTTAACATTATTAGCTGTTTTCCCTTTTCCTTTATATGGTACAAGGACAAACTTTTACATGTCTAATTGGTAACAAATTATGAGTTAGTGGTAAGGAATGAGGTCTTATTATTATTTTTTTGGTTGTTTTTGAATGTTGCTATTTAATTTACTTCTTAAAACATTGGTGAATATCATGCTGTGAAGAGTCATTGGTGTCAGAAAAAGTTCTTGAACACACAGGATGGGCAAATGTCATTTTAAATTCCTTGTGACAGAAATACACACCCATATATAGTTCATTGTCTCCTTGTGAGCTCACATACCAGGAACAAGTTGGCAGTGGTTCCTCCCTCATTTCTTTTCCTAAAACCATATTTGATCGTTAAAGAGCAACCCCTCACCCCATGGGCACCGGAGGGTGGGGCCAGAGCGGTCGGCTGACCTGAGTCAACCAGTAGAGTATAAAAGGCCAGGCCAGTGGGGCCGAGCACGGTCCAGCCTCGCCCTAGGAGCACAAGGGGGACGGTCACTGCTCTCAGCCTGTCCTCCAGCACGGTGCCTGTTGGGCTGACATGGTTAACTGGATGCACTAAAAAATAAACATTTGCCTCTTGGAAGCTCATAAAAGTAGACTAGAAAAAAGTCTCTAACATTGGATCCACACAACTGCAGCCAGCGACTTCAGGAACAGGCGGAACAGAGAACCCTCACGGAGCCGTGGATAAATAGAAAGACAGAGCCACTTCAGAGTTCGGTGTCTATTGTAAAATGGAAAAGGCAACATATTAGGAGTCCTTGTCACTGTCCACCCCTCCGTACATATCCGCGAGCTTCTTGAAGCGAGGGCCCCAGTCACTAAGGTAGTCATAGTCTTGGTCTCCATCCGTGGTCACCGACTCCAGCGAGCTCAGGGAATCGGCCACCGAGCCAGTGCCCTCGTAGGCGTAGGTGGCCAAGGAGTCGTAGGGCGGCGCCGTGGGGTCCGTGTCGTGCTCCTTCAACCTTTGGTTAATGAAATCGCGGACGTCGGTGTTATCTCGGGCGGCTGGAGTCCGTCGGGGTAGGAAAAGGGCCTCGGGCACAATGTCCCTGCGGAGCTTGCTGTCCTCGATGGCTTCGGGGTTCCGCAGGGTGCCGATGTCGAAGGCCTGGGTGTCCTCCTCCCCGCCGCCTTCGTCGTTGTAACTGACGATGTTGTCCCTGATGTCCTCTTTGGAAATGATCAAGGGCTCTTTCTTCCGCTGCCGCCTCAGAGCTGCGAACAACACCACGGTCACTGGAAGCAGAAACAAAGCAGCAAGGGGAGGGAAGTTAATTTGCCACCCAATTAATGCGGGAACAATCCCGGGCGCCAACTGCAAGCTTTGAAAGTCCTCTAGGAAAGTGCAGACTCAACTTTTCTCCCTTTAAGGACGCATTTGCCTTCACGCACCATCAAACTGGGACCCAGAAGAAACGGGGTGGTTGAAAGAAGGGTTACGATATAAGGAGAGGATAAAACATCGTCAGATTTTGTCAGCAGCTCCTTTTTTATTTGAAATAACAAACTAGTTTCAAGGTAAGGAGGATGATAAAATACTGATTTAAAAAAGGAAGCTCAGCAGGAGCGAGGGTTCTGCAATAAAAGTGCAAATTATGCCGAACACCTGACATGCTAGAAACGGCCCAAAAGCACAAGGCTGGTGCCTTCCGAAGGTGGTGGAGGGTTTGCATGACTCCGCATCTAAAAGAACCTTTGCACTGTGCCTCCTTTTTTGTTTTCCTGAGGAAAGTGTGAAATTAGTTCAAAACCCCAAGTGGAGATGTGAATATTTGCACACCTTTCCCACACACGAGGAAATATTACAGGTAATAGCTGGAGAGACCCAGAGACAGTTCAGAAAGCCACTTTTGATTTCCCGATCAGCCCCTTCGAAGGGGTCAGGTAATAATACACATGCCAGATTATTGCTGTTCCAGCTATACAAAATACACACGTTTCAGTTGGAACGACAGAAAATGTCTTCCAAAGGTTCATGTTCTATAAATTTGTTGCCTGGATGTTCATTCTTTTGATTATTCCTCCTAACTCAAATGAGAGACAAGTAAGAAATGTGTTTAAATAGCTCCTGATGTTTCTTCACAGCTGGCTGGCTAGAACACAGCTGACTACCTGGAGAGGGACACATCTACAAATGGACATATGGGTGGGAAAATAAAGACATAGCAACAGCTTGGAGAGAAAACAGCTATCCAGGGCAGAAACTGCACTGTTAAACTCGGTTTGTCCAGGGGAGTTTATAACAGGAAGTACTAGTAATATGCCTTTATTCTCTCATCCATAACATGGTCCTATTTTTTTTATGAGCCATGAAAATTGAATTATCGCAATAAGAATTACAGAATAATTACAGAAAAATTTAGGTGGATGTGTGTATCTACCTATACAATAATAGATACATGCACACCCTCGTGTCTATATATTAACATTTCAGATGTTAATAGTACTAATAATTGGACACCTATTGAGAGAGTTCTGTATGTCAAGCACCTGGCTAAGTGTTTTACATACTGGTGTCATTGATCGTAATAGCCCTACAATAGGTACCATCATTATAAGTCTATCTAACACAGAGGAAATTGAGGTCTAGAGATGTTACATGTACAAGCAATTGAAATCCAGGTCAGCCAAACTAATGAACCCAACACTCTGCCATGCTGTGACACGTGTTTGGATTATAGACCATGTCTCAGGACATGCAATTTTGCCTTTTTTCAAATGTGTGGTTGTGTGATTGTATCGTATACATTCTCTTTTGCTGCCAGAGAATATTCTGATGCCTCATTCATGACGTTCATTCAGGGTATTCATTCATTCAATAAATATTTATGTAGTGCCTACTCTGTGTCAGGTATAGTTCTAGGCACTATCAACAACAAAAAAGTTGATCAAGACCTCCACCTTAATAAGGTGGGGCAGGTGGTGGTAGTGGATGGAGACAGAAAATAAACGATGCGCATAATAAATAAGGAAACTATTAGAAGGCGATGAGGAGAGCAGAGTCAGGAGGATGGGAGTGCTTCTGGGCTTTGTTTCAGGGGCTGGATATGTTTTTCGGGGTGGACAGCATCATTGAGAAAGTGACAATTGAGCAAACACTTGAGGAGTCATCCAAGGAGCTCTCTGGTGAAGAGGTCAGAGCTAGAAGGCCCTGGAGAGGGAGTGTCCCTGGAGCGTAGGGAGCAGCCAGGAGATCCTGTGGCTGGACCAGAGGGGACCAGAAACGACAGCAGCAGGGAAGGGCCACCTCAAGCAGGGTTATGAATGCTCCTGTATGTCTTCACTTCGCTCTAGGGTCCTGGTGGGTGGAAAATTGCAGGGCTTTGGGCAGAGGGACGCTCACAATATACCTTTTTACTGCTCTGCAGTGTGATCCGTGACATGAATTTGCAAAACAGAAGGACAGCCTTTGGTATTAGAGAATAGTATCAAGCTAACTCACTCTCAAGGAGTTAAACTCTGATGTACATGGGTTTGTTCCATCATTTAAGGTAGGCATTTATAACTTCCTAATTCCTCCCCCGCTTCAGTTACCAGTGTCTTTCACTTTAGTCCCATGTGTACCTAACAGTGCAGTTGTCTGGGAGGGAGGGCACAGTCCATCGTGTAAAAGCATGTATTCACTGCCAATTCTCTTTCAGCTGCCACTGCCTATATCTTCTCTCAGTAGCTCGATGAACATCTGAACAGACTTTCTTGATAGTATAACTGTCTAGAAGGGAGAGCTTTCCAAAGCTAACTTTTATAAATTGAAAATGTGAAACCTAAGGTCACAGAGCAAAAGGTTCAGAGAAAGCAGTTGGCCGAGGAGGTGCCCTTCGGGGTCACCGAGCCTCCCCCTTTTTCCCTGCTTCCCTGGGGCCAGAGGACAACAGTAACATTACTTTGGAGGAGGAGACTCTTGGACAAGTTTGTGCTCAAATCCCATCATAAAACTAGAAAGTCGCAAGGCATTGGGTTTAAGTTTACTTAAGGGATTTGGCCTAAGTCTGTCTCCTTCTCTGAAGAGAGAAGCCGTAACATGATGCCTGATGTTATTGTCAGGATGAGTTAATACATGTGAGTGTTTTGCAAACTCTGGATGGAGCACAACAGAGACAGGAGATGTAATGGTTGTTTTACTGTTGTTTCATTTTTGTAAACAAAACAACAGGAGGCCACCTGATTCAGTTTCTTGACCCCTCCCATGCAAACATGGCTTTCCTTCTCTCGCAGACCCTCAGCATGCAGCCCTGGCTCCCTGGGCCTGCAAGTTGCCCTGTGTTCCTTAATCTCACAGAGAAAGCAGCGTGCCCTGTGGGAGCACCAGGGCTCGGGGACAAGACCTGAGCTTGGACTTCGTTCTATCCCCTTAGCTGTGTGGCTCCAGGACTGCACATCTCGGGGCCGCAGCTTTCATGTTTAGGATGCAGATGCAGATACACGGATGGTGCTGAGGATGGAGTGAGAAAAACTTTTGGAAAGCATCTTGCCCAGTGTCTAGCTCATGATGTGAGCTAGTTAAAGATTAAGTCAGATTTCTCTCCTTTTTTATTAGGCACAGAATTCTGAAGAGATTAGACAAGACGTGGGAGGTATTGAGGCGAATTTGGAGCGAGGAGATAGCGGATTCAGTGGAGGACAGGTATGAAGAGGGAAGGTAAAAGGAGCTGGTTAGGAGGAAGGCAAGGGGGAGGAGAACATGGGTCGATGATGAGGGAGAGAAGAATCACCTCCAGGAGATGACAGTGGTCCTCCTTCTATAGACCACAAAGAGTCCCTGAACCTCTACCTAAGTACAACCCTGCCCAGCCAGCCCTTCTAGAAATAACCTGTTTTAAGAAGTAAAAATTCAAACTATTCCCATCCCTCTCTTCCGAAACAATTTTTACAGACTCGCCATTGGACGCACTGATTGGTCTTTGCATACTGTCGGTTTTTATTTATCCTCATCTCTTAAAATCCTTTCCCCGAAGATTAGCTGACAAAGAGAATCACAGTTCTAGAGCCGAGTTTCAGGGCTTCTGTTTTAATTAGCAGATTTGCTGCGGAATGTAAGCGCTTGAGCGGAGATCCCCAAGCCTGCGCCTCTCTTCCTGGAGAAACGTAGGTCCCTTTGCCCTTCTCAGTCCCCGTGTTGTCATGTTTAAAAGGTTTTTTTTTTACCCCCTGTGTAATCCAGGTTAACTCTAACTTCTTTCTATTCTTTCCGCTTGTGTGGGCAAGCTATACAAATCTTATTTCTATTTTTGGAAGGGGCTGCACGAGCAAACATTTGATTTCTTAGTTCACAACAGTCAGGGGGCTGTTGATCATTTTGAGCTCAACTTGATCATTTTGAGCTTAATTTGTTGGTCAGGGGTAAAAATTTCATTTGATTTGTTACACCTTGATTATTTTGCTTTTATTACACTTATATCTTTTAGGTCCCAGATTTATTTCCGGAGCCTGAGAAGAAATAAGACATTATGTATGGCTATTAGAGAGCAATGCTAAGAAGGTGGTTATTTCAATGGGTTTAAGTTTACTGGGTTAGAGAAAATTTAATTGCTTTTTATTTTCCTGTATGAGAGAAAAAAGTCATTGCATTCCTCTTTCTAGTTTCCCATCGATTTTTAAAAAAATCCTCACTTGAGGATATTTTTGCATTGATTTTTTTTCAGGTGGAGTGGGAGGGAGGGAGGGAGAGAGAGGGAAAAGCATCGCTGGGTCTCTATTGGTTGCCTCCCACATGACCCCAAATGAGCCAGGGTTAGAACCTGCAGCCAACATACATGCCCTTGACTGGGAATCGAACATGCAACTCCTTGGTTTACAGGCCAACACTCTAACCACTGAGCCAGACCGGCCAGGGCTCCCACTGATTTTTAAACTTTACCTTCATAGAAAAGTTCTTTATCAGATACCCCATGTCACATGACTTTCACTCTTTAAAATTTAACAATGTTTGTCAGGTTAAATATTAACCAACACATGAAATGAAAAGCGCATATTTATGTTGCCATCACCCCCCTGGGATGTGCTCCCAGTCTGCCAGGCAAGGGATTCTTTGGGGTAGTGGTTCTCTGGGTGGGTAAACGACATGGGCAAGTTTCACATCTGCTCATGCTCCAAAGCCATATCCAAGCAAAAATGAGTTCATGGTCAAACAACACAGATGCTCAGCATATCACGCGACTCACCTAGATCGAGCGGTATGCCTTATGGGGAGGCAGACAGATCTAGTGTCCCAGTGACAGTGTGTGCCCCTCAGCGTGCGATGGGGAGAAGGCTTACCTAGCAGTGTCACGATGCACAGGAGGATGGCGATCAGAGCCCCTGTGCTCAGTCCCGTGGGGTGGACGAGTGCCTCCGCGTGGCAGGACTGCATGTTCCCGTGGTGGTCACATGCACAAACCCGGACAGTCACTGTCCCGGTGCTGCTTTGGACCGGGTAGTCATTGTCTGAGATGACCACAGGCAGGAGGTAGGTGCTCATCTCGTGTCTGTTGTAGCCATTTTTCCGAGTGAAGATCCCCGCGGTGTTGTCTGGAACCAGAAAGCTAAGTGGTGAATGGATGTGGATGCCCAGCCACGTAAGGGTTCAGGTGTGAGGGGCTTAGATGGACACAGACAGAGGTAGACACAGAGACAGAGAAGGTCACTTGGGCTCCTTTACCTTTGTTGTCTTGCACAGTAAAGTTTGAGCCGCTGGCTGCTTCCGGGGCCAAGGAGAAGGAGAACTGGTGGCCGCTGTGCGGGTCATCCTTGTCGACGGCTCGCAGGGTCTGAATCAGCTGAACCCAAACCACAAGCTGTCACAAAGTGGTGCTCACTTCACGTGTTGCTTACAGTTTGGCAGTCAACTGCTTGACTAAATGATTTCTATTTTGAATTTAAAAAACGATAGCCTCTGAAAAACGTACAGTGGGTCTACTCTCTGCAAAGAACCGAGGGTTGGAAAGAGAGTCGGGGTGACTGTGCTGTGAGGCGGCCTGTGGGTAGCTTAGCAGGAAGCCTGGCCTCCTCCCACTAGATACCAGTAGCATCCTCTTTCTTGCGACCATCCAAAGTGTCCCAGACATTGCCGAATGTCCCCTGGGGGACAGAATCACCCGGGTTGAGAGAAACAGCCCTGGAGTGATACAAAGCTATAAAATATCACAGTGACCTACGACAACACTGTAACTTAAGGAGATGAGGCGCCCATTGGCCAGCCTGCTTAGAAATGCAATCGGAGCTTATACACATGCCATGGACTTACGTAAAAGCTAAAGAGAACATTTGTCTATGAAACACCTAACTTCAGCTTCCCAGTTGAACATGTATTTTAAAAGTGCACCTCTAATGTCATTTCTATATCACTGGCAGAAGAGACCTGTTTCAGACGAGGACATGTGTAAAACGTTCATAAACTTGTATTACTTGTGCAGATGGGCAATGTAAGTGAGCGGAACTATGCATTATAGGCATTTGTAAAATTTGTGCTGGTTGTCACTTTCCAGTGTATGTGGTAATTAAAACTGTCTGCTTACCAATAAAGATGTTCCCAAGAAGCTGTGACTAATCTATTTTAATGAAAACTTAAGACCGATTTGGAATCAGCATCAGACTTCGAGACTGATGACCTTCCAGTTCTTAAAAACTGTTTGTTCTTTTATGCAAGTTAAACATTCATCCTGGTTCTTACTTATAGTATTAATTTTGTGAGAATTCATATCATAGATAATTCAAAACTGGCCCTTTGCTCTGTTTATCATCTGAATTGCTAGAGGATCTAAATTAATCCGGCTGGATTAATTTACTTTCCTATGAAACTCACCTGATCTGCTTTGGCTTTTTCACAGACAAAGGTTTCATAGAATTCAGCAAATTCGGGGGCGTTGTCATTGACGTCCAGAACTTTAATGTAGAGAGGCACGCGGCTGCTCTGCTTTGGGTTATCTGCAACATGTCAGAGTGAAAGGAACAGACATGTACATGTTGATCACTAATCCCCTTTAGATAACAGTCACTCACTCCTCCTTTCTCATTCATACACAGAGTCCCTGGGGCTGCCCTGCCATGTGTGGCAGAGGGCATTAAGTACCAACATCATCACAAAAAAGTAGAATTAGATTGTTTGGTACTTCTGGTCCATTAGGTACAACTGATGGAAATACCCGGCAGACATAGGTACGTGTTGATGGAGTGCAACTGTGTCATGAGCATCAGAGTATAAAGAAAAGCTATCCTACAAAGGCATTCTAGAGCTAGATTTTAAAACAAGCCAAGGAAGCAGGCAGATGGGGAAAATGGGGACAAAGGAAGAAGGGATGGTGAGGTGGTGGGGATGAATGATTGTTGATGGTCTCACTTTTTTCGTTGGAGTGCTGAATAAAAGCTACACATTGTACTAAGCACTTGGCTACTTTATCTTATTTAATCCTTGCAAATTGCTGAGATTATTGCCCCCATTTTATAGGTGAGACAACTGAGGCACAGAGAGGTTAGATAATTTGTCCAGAGATTGTAAAGAGTGGAGCCTAGACTCAGACTGGGTCTGTCTGACTCCAACGCCCAGGCTGTTCATCTGGGATAATGACAGAGCAGGATCTGTGTTCGAAAACCCGAGATAAACAAAGCGCTGGTTGTCTTCTATGACAGTCTCCTGGGTAGTATGACAGCCAGGTTCCTGGCCTAAGAATCAGGAGTTGGTCTCTCACCTCAGCTTTTTCATTCATTTGGCTCATATGTCTATTTGTTCATTCACTTGATAAATATTTAGTGAGCATCTAATATCTAATTTGTGCCAGCCACTCTTTGGGGGTGCTGGAACACATGGGGAACCCGACAAAGATCCTACTTCCTGAAGCTCTCTTCTAGTATGAATAGCAAACTGTAAACACATTAATATATAATGTGTCAGATGGTAAAGGCAATGGAGAAATTAAACAGGGAAAGGAATTGGAGAGAGATGATTGTGTTCCTTTGAATGGAATGACCAGGGATGGCTTCTCTGATGAGACGTCATCTGCACAGACATGAATGAATAAAAAGATCGAGCAATGTGAATATTCCTGGCTCTCCAGATAGAGGACATAGCAAATGCAAAGGGCCCTGGGGGCGGGGCAGTGACCTGGATTTAAGCTTTTGGTTTCTGATACAACAAGGGTATTTAGACTCTTAATCTCCTTCGCATCTAAAATTTTGCTCACATGGTTCTTCCATAGAGCTGCCGAAGGGGAAGTTTCAAAAGGTCTATCATGGGTGATTTCAAATATATCATAGAACTTTAAACCATAAAAACAGAACACTTTAGGTGCAAAGCTTAAAAATACATATAAAATGACTTCCATTAAAAAAATTCCTGATGTTACAGAAAAAGGGTACTTTTGGGCAGGTAATGATTTTATAATTTCAAAGCTTTAAGTGTGCCCTATCATTGGTGTCCACGTTAGTCCCTCCACTTAAATTCTGAAGAGCAAATTCCTGCGTAACAAAGTTATAATAAAGAGTTCTCACCACTATCAAAGAACAATGCTGCTTTTTGCTCGCATTGGTTATTTGTTATTCTACTCAGTACCCTTCAGCTGCTCAAATCTCATGAGTTGCATTGACAAAGACTACCACGGCAATGTACCATTTGATATGGAATGTTTTAAAAATAAAATTTTTGTACTTTTAAAATAAAAATCAAAAACTAAAAAATGTGTCATAATTTGGAAGCCTATTTTTAAACATTTAAGTGATATTTTAAAGATCCTTTTTCGTTCATGCATTTGGTTTTACACTGTGTTTCCATTGCACAGTTTTCACTGTGTATAATCACTGTATTTGAAGCATTCCTTTGGCACTAGTTTTCTTTGCCTTCCATTTCACCGCGACTGCCATAAAATCCATTCCGAACATTTTATTGTGTTGCTCATTTTGGTGTACCATGGAAAAGTTAAAATGTATCTCTCTGAATTCTGTAACAATTTTGAAATAGGAATTAAATAGAAAACTAGAGGATAAATTAAATATCTAAAAGATTTCTAACCAATGCCTGTTTTTTAGAATATATTTGATCCCTCCAACATGTACCAATGCAACCCCAGTTGAGACAGATGCCTTTCCATTTGATTGTCTAAATTGCTGAACTTCCACAGTTGCCTCTGTATTTGTGAATGAACCAACATACGTCTAGAAGAAACATTATTGCAAATCAACACATGGTGAGGGGTTTGGAGCGTGCTCCCCCAGCCCTTGCTGGGACACTCCCTCGGGAAGTCGGGACAGCAGTTTTGGGGCGGACTTACTGATTTCTGTTGCTATCACCGTAATGTTGTGCCACAGCAGTGTTTCCCGGTCAAGAAGTTTGGATGTAAAAATGGAACCATTTCCAGAATGAATGTTGAATATTCTGTCCATGTCTGTGTGTCGATCGACAGAATACCTGAAAATGGAGAGAATTTAAAAAGGTTTTCTTTGTATTTGCTCTTCTCACATTCTAAACCTATTCCCAGAGTATGTGATACATGCAATTTTTTCCTAACTGTAGCATATATTTGAATATCTATAACTTAACATTAAGCAAAATATTCTGAGAAATTAGTTGTTGACAACTGAAGTCTTATTAGTAAATCACCAGACAAGTTGCATGATTTTGAGTATCACCTCTGAAGTTTTTTTTTTTTTCAAATGTAATTTGGATCAAGTTTGTATAGTGATTGTTATAATTTAACTCAGGTTTTTAGAAACTCAGAACTTTAGTGTGTGTGTATGAATAAGTAGGATTATTAGCTATTTGTCTAATATGCATATTATTTAAGAAGTTATGTTGAGAGTGCTGAATCCATCAATAGATGATGGATAAAAAAGCTGTAGTACATATACACAACGGAACACTATGCAGCTGTAAGAAAGAAAGATCTCTTATCCTTTGAGACAACATGGAGGGACCTTGAGATATTATGCTAAGTGAAATGAGCCAATTAGAGAAAGACAAATACCACATGATCTCACTTATTTGTGGAATATAATGAATTTGTGGGCTAATGAATGAAATAGCCCTAGAGACATAGAAAGGAGTATGGTGAACCAAAGAACTTATGTGCAGGTATGCCTAACAAATGGACATAGACAACAATGTTGGGGGAGGGGTCTTGGGGGGGCCGGTTGGGGAGGTGGGTGTCTAGGGTGGAAAAAGGAGAAACATCTGTAACAAAAATAAATTAATAAAAATTGGGAAAACAGAAGAAAGAAGTTATGTTGAAATAAGCAAACGATGGCTAGCTGGCTGAGGTTAGTGGGCAGGAGATGGGGCTGGGGCGCAGCTGGGGAAGAGGCCCACAGCCTGCACGCAGGAGGGTGGCTGGCCACGCGCGGCGCAGCCCTCGTGCCGGGAGCGGCGGGGCTCCACCAGTGCAGTCTCCGCAGCAGGGTCACCTCCTGGATCACGCTCCAAGGCGCGCTCTGCGTGAACGAGCAGATCGGCTGGGCACACTCACAGGACTTGTGAAGAGCAGCGTTTGGGGAAGATCCGAAGTTGCAGTTCTGATGCGTTGAGGCGTAAAGCCTGGGAAAAGCAGGGAGAGGTGCGGAGTTGGAAGCTCACGGTGGCGGTCTGGGCTGGCCGCCTGCATTTGCCGCTCGGCCCTCGGGGAGAGGGTGCCCGGGAGGGACGGAAGCCCGGGGACAGAGTCCCGTCGAGGACCCGCGGGACCGAGGAGCTGTGCCAGGACTAGAACCAGCCCAGAGCGGGCGGGGACTCGACAGATACTTGAGGAGAGTTTGGAGAGTTGAAAGAAAACCAAGAGCGCGTCTCAGAAACCAAAGAAGGAAGAGTCTTCAACACCCAAACCGACGGAAGGCGGGTAGGTTTTGAGGACTGTTAGTTTGTATACACTGGAACAGCGGTGTAAGGGGGTGTCGGTACTCTGTTTTATGGGGGGTGTTGAAGAGGACACTCAGAAGAAAGTTGATATGTGAAGGACATTAGGAGCAAAAAAAAAATGCCCATTTTAGTTGGATTCTCAACATTTATATCATGGTAGGTGATTTAAGAATGTCGGCACGGTAGAAATAGCATTTTAGTAAATGACCAAGCTAGTCATACACATGTGAAATTATTATGAATTCTCTGAGAAAAATGAACCCTTCTTACTAAGTTGCAAGAGTGTACAATGTCCAATATTCTCTTTCAGTTAATTATTTTGTTTTAAAATATAACTAGTGAATTATAATAAACCATATATTTTATCATAATAAAATCGATTTTTGTCATTTAACTGGAGTCAAAATAAAACAGATAATCCAATTATTGTGGACCGTGCAGGCCTGATTATAAAGACAATGAATAAGTGGATCTACATTTATCAAGTTCCAATTTATATAAACCTAATGTTTTATTATCAAAAGGATTAAAGCAGATGAAACAGCTATTTTTTTTCCTATTTATGTCATGAATCAACATTTGTTAAGAATTTAGGCAACAGCATTGTACTTGCTTGAGCACCTTTCTTCATTTTTAATCTGAGAATGATAAATATTTACAGCATATAATTATTTAATAATAAATTAATCAAAAGAAAATATCGGTATTCATAGACTTTATAGAAATTTAGTGATATATGCAAATATGTTTTTTTCCTCAGAGAAAGCATCAAGCTTAAGGCATGTTGCCTATTGCCTTTATAAGCTGCAACAGTTTTATCCAGCAGTAGTCTTTTCTTGTTTCTTGCCTCTTTTTATCTTGCTATAGTTTTAATTTTTTTCTTTATTGATTTTTAGAGAAAGGAAGGGAGAGAGAGGGAGAGATAAGACACACTGATGAGAGAGAACACTGACTGGCCACCTCCTGCGTGCCTCCCACCAGGGATTTGGCCCACAACCTGGGCATGTGCCTTGACCAGAAATCAAACCAGTGACCTCTTGGTGCAGGGGTTGATGCTCAACCACTTAGCCACACTGGCGGGCGGATCTTGCTTTAGTTTTAGGTTTTATAATTAATCATATTCTCACATCAAGCCTTGAAATAAAGGGTACGGGGTGAGGAACTTCTAGTTGAAGGCAGTTTTTTTTTTTTCCTTTTGGTACGTGCCCCTCGCGGGAACCAAACCGGGGACTCTCTGGTCCACAGGCCGATGTTCCAGCTGAGCCAAACTGGCCAGGGCTGAAGGCAGCATTGGCTTCAAATAGATATATACCAAAATGTATATGTTTTTTCTTTAATTGGGAGATTTACAAATAGAAAGTCGAAAGTGTTTATATTGTTTAGGAAAGATGCTTGCATGCAAAGCCTTGCTTATTTGTTGTTTCTCTTTTCAAAGTATTTCCGATTTACATTCAGACTATTTACCATCTTGTCACATGAATTGTAACCATCACTGATAAGGAGCAAGGTAATCAAACCCACCAGGATGGTAGCAGATTTTCTGCTAGGTAGCTCTTTTGCTTTCTTTCTAAAACTTTATTCCGTTCTGTGATTCAATAATTTGGCTTCTAATGCATCCTCAAGTCAGGAAGATTTGTGGGTCAGGAAGGGTGTTTGTATGTAACTTTTTCACAATATATGTTCATAGTGACAGTTTATAAGGCTCTGTCATGGGAATCAAAGGCCATTTGTGATAGTTATGAGATGAAAATTATTTTATGTTATTGAAGAATTAAAGATTTGTGTCTGCATAATGATATATCAATGTTTGGGGGAAGAATTCTCTAGCATAAATTGTGCACCTAACATATTATCTAGAACCTACTTGTTCAGTATGTGGCCTTGAGTAACCAAAAACTCTGTATGGGTACACTTTCCTAGTATAAGAATCAGTTTTATCCTATAAAAGGGATCACTGGCATATACCGATATATCTATGTGCATTTCTATCCTTAATCTATATTTATACACCAAATCCATTTCTGCCAAGCGAGGACTGGCAGAAAGAACTTCAAAATTAGTTGTCAGCCAACCCAGTTTGACAAACTCCTTATTTGCACAACACATAATATAATGCAGTGGGTAAAAATGATATTCAGAATAAAAAGAAAAATAGACATATAAATGCAGCCTACATTTCCAGAAGACATGATCTCTTTCAATTAAAAACATGTTGACCGATCAAAGAGGTAACTGGATGCTTGCATTTGTGAAATTCCAGCATGAACACTTGACATCAGTCTTGACGTGGACTGCTAAGACTTTCCCCCTCACGCAGTTAGAACAAGCTCCATGTGAGAGAATAGTTGTGAAAGTACTTAAAATGGTTTGTGTTGTACAAGTGGAGGCTGTCGTCCATTTTCCGTGTTAATAGTAGTGATATGTAGGGAGGAACACTTTGTCCACGGAGCTGTCACGCGGCCACTCCTGGTGGCCCTTAGTCCAGTTAACGAGCCCAGATAAGACAATGGGATGATAAAACAAGAGTCTGTTTTACCGAGAGTGTAAACTTACTCTCTGAAAGTAAACCAGGCATCTTTGTGTTTTAGATATGGGACTTGCTATTGGTTTCATGTGGACAAAGGGCTCAGTGGCTAAAAAGTTAGCAGACGATGCCTGGGAGCCTCAGACTCTGGTCTGCAGCAATAGTCCTCACGCATGGCCAATGTGATCTTTTAAAAAAATAGTTTTGTGCCCTGGCCGGTTTGGCTCAGCGGTTAGAGCATTGGCCCGCGGACCAGAGAGTCCCGGGTTTGGTTGCTGCTAAGGGCACGTACCTCGGTTGCAGTTTGTCCCCGGCCCTGGTTGGGGTGGTGTGGGTGGTGACCAGTGGATGTGTCTTTTTTACATCCATGTTTCTCTCTCTCTTCCTTCCTCTCTCCCTCCTACTCTATCTGAAGATAAATGCAAAAATGTCCTCGAGTGAGGATAAAAAAAAAAGTAGTTTTGAATTAGGTAACGTGGCTACTCAAAGCTCTCTAATGGCTTCTTCCCTGACAGAATACAATCCAGTCTCTCCCAGGGCCTACCAGCCCCAGTAGGCCCAGCCAGGTCCCGCCTGCTCAGCCTCTTCTGTCTCCACCAGCCTCCTTGTTACTCCTAAATGCCCAGCAATCAGACCTTACCCTTGCCTTTCCCGCCTTCTGGAATGTTCTTCCCCTGATCAGCATGGTTCATCCCTATATTTCATTCAAATAGCTACTCAGATTATTTCCTACCGAGGCCAAGCGTCACCACACTATCTAAAATAGTTCCCCATAGTCCGCCCGTGTGGTTCAGTGGTTGAGCGTTGACCCATGCACCAAGAAGTTGCTGGTTCGATTCTCGGTCAGGATACATGCCCAGGTTGTGGGCCCAATCCCCAGTGGGGGGCATGCAGGAGGCAGCCAATCGATGTTCTCTCTCATCCATGTTTCTCTTTTTCTCCCCCTCTCCCTTCTTCTCTCTCTAAAGTCAATAAAGGAAAAAAATATTAAAAAATAAAATAGTTCCCCATATACCTGTTGTAACCACACTGTCTTATTTTACTGTTCAAATTTATGTTTACCTGCCACATTACAATATTTATCAGTTGCTTATTTCTATCTGCCCCATTGGAATGTGGGCTCCCCATTCAGATCTCTGTGTTGTTCTCTGCTGTCTCCCGCCTCGCACGTGGCAGAGCCCTACCGCGGATGTAGCTGTGGACTCGCTGGCAACACCTGCTCCAGCTCAGCTGCTTGCTTTCTCTATGGGGAATCGTTGGCACAGTGGTTTACTGGCCTAGTACTCTTCTCATCTAGTCAACCAAACTACGGGCTGAAGGCTGGAGGTTGGTTCACTATTGCGCTTTCATGACAAGGTTCTAGCACCCTGGAGCATCGATGTCTCGGAACCTGGTTTATGACTAAGGCGTAGGAAAGTGCAGGCAATGCGGAGCTTGCTTACACGGTATAAATGGGATTCAGCTCTATTAATTTATCCCGAATTTCACAGACACATATCATGAACCAGTTCTCATTTTTATCCACATCTGCAGAGAAAAAAAATAATGCATCCAAATAGAGCAGAATTCTGCCTCTAAGTGTAACACAATAGGTCTTCCACACTTGTAAACAGACTCACATGCTTCCTCCACACCACTCTTTCCACATTTAAGACCTTAAAATATCCCAGGCCATTCAGGAGTGTTACCTTACACCAATTCTATGTAAGAGCTCCTTATAGCTCATTTTATGTCCCCCACCCCTAACTTTTGTTTTTCAACTTGCTGCTGCTGCTAAAATGATATTTACGTTGAGCGAGGAGATAAAAGCTGCTCTTTAGTGCAGTTTTTCAGGAAGACGCACTGTGAATTGGATAAAAAGGATGTCTTTTCCAACTTGCAGACTGATATTTGAATATAAATCGACTGAAACTTATGCAAGAGACATGTCGCCGAAGGTGCTTACTTGACAGGATTCCTGGCAGCGTCTGGGTCCTGGGCTGTGACGGAGCCTATTGTCGTGTTTATCTGAGCATCTTCTCTTACTTGTAGGATGTAGGCCAATTTGCTGAAGACGGGGGGCTCATCCACATCTTCCACCACAATCCTCACCGTGGCTGAATCTTTGAAGGGACCCAGGTAGAGAAAACGGGGTTCAACGTGAGGGTTGGAGGCTTCCACTTTGAGGGTGTACACCTTCTTCTTCTCAAAGTCCAAGAGCTTGGGGTGGGGTAGAGGGAAAGTGACATATTTAAAGCAGCCAAGACACAGAAAGCCAAGACATGAACTGTTTTTCATGCAGATCACCGATGAAAAAGAGGGTCCCAGTGCTTAGAGACACCACCACCAGTGATTTTGGGCAGAGGAGCGGGGTTCAGGTGGCTCCCAGCGCTGAGGGAAGTGCAGGCTGAAACCACACCTGCTCTTGTCTTGAAAGTGGGTGCAGGGGTGCAAGGTGTCATGGTCAGCAAGGGAACCCAGAAGCAGGAGTATGTTAGACACCTGAGAACATGTGGTCGATTATTCTGGGTCATATCTGGCTTTAACTGAATACCAGATGAGTGTTTAAAAATTGCCAATATCTGGACCCCACACTGGATCATTAAACCAAAGTGTCTGGGGGAGGGATGGGAATCCGTACTTTTAAACACCTCCCCTAGTGATTCTAATGTGCAGCCAGAATTGAGAACTACAGGCTTGTACTATTCCTCATTCAGAGAAAATAGATGAAAAATGGTGGTTTTGTTTTGTTTGTTTTATTTTGTTTTGCATGAGGTGATAAAATATTTCAAGTGTTATCTTGATAAGGGCATCGGGCTAATTACTTGCCAAAGAAAGTAATGATCACTGTTGTCAGAGGTCTTTAGGAAAAGTCTCTCTGCTTCTGGAGACATAGAGAACTCCAATGCTTATTGCTGACTTTTAGTTTTGGATAATAATACGACAAGGCTCACTAGAAACACAATTAATCAAGACGTTCCTGAATGTGATTTAGTCGGCTAGGCAAAATTTCAGTTTGAATCTGATAAGGCACCAGAAAAATTAAAAAGGTTAATGGACACTAATGGGCTTTCTAATTATGTTATAGTGTAAAACATTGGTCTGAGTGTCACTTAAACATGTTTTATTGTGCTTCCAGTTACTAAGACCTGTAATCCGAAGCTGAAGAAGAAAACATGTTCTTGTTTACATTTCCCTATACTTACATATGCCTGCAAATATGGCAGTGTGCTAAAGGAGAGAGAAAATATCAGTAAAAGAGAGATCAGTAAAAAACAAAACAAAACCCAAATTAATATTATTTTTAGCTTCGAAGCCAACAGTTTACTGTTTTTTAATTTCTGCCACACTTCTGTATAGTGCTCTGTGGTATTAGACAATTTTGGGGGATAAATGGTGAATAAGTACCTAGGAGACAAATAGAAATTCAGAATATAAAATATTTATTACTGTGTTCCAAAAGATAGCAAAAGAGCTTTAGGGAATTTGTGTTACTTAATTTATTTTTGTGGTCTTTATATCCTCTCTTTCTAATTAAGGTCATTGTTATCATTGCTTGTATTTACTTTTTCTTCAAAGCATACGTCAAAATTGATAGTTAAACATTTTTGTATATTTATCTGTTTCCTCGTCTCTTTTCTCCGTACGTTAGAAGTTCCACAAGAGACCAGACACCAACCATCCTGTTGAATAGACCATTAAACTCTCAGTATCTAGAACAGTGTCTGGAACTGCTTTTTCATTTATTGTTTCATTTATATTATTTATTTTATGTATTTTCATGTATTTCTCTTCTTAGTAGTTCCTTTATAAAAATTTATTGAAAGTATGGAATTCATGAGTCGATTAGATTACCGAGGACCCCTAAAAGCCAGCCAAAGAGATCTCAGTGTGATTAGACTTGGTGTTTTAAAGAACGAATTAGAACAACAAAAATCTAGAGGAATGTTCATGTGAAATGTAATTGCCCCCAGTTACTGGGGAGCAGAGAAATGTCAATGCATTCCTTTGCATGGGACTGCGGCATCCTTACCTTTCTGACTGTTATGATGCCTTCCTGAGTTTCCTGGTCAGTGACGACATCAAACATGTCCAGCCCCTCTCCCTCTGTGATGCTGTACTCAATCGCTGCGTTTTCTCCCATGTCGGCGTCACTGGCTTTGATTCTGCCGATCGGTGTGCCCGGTGGAGAAGATTCAGGGGTGTGAAATTGGTATGTACCTGTTAATCACCAGAAAGACAGAAGTCAAGCGTGGACTAAGAATACTCTATCCGAACAGAAACAAACTCATTTTCTAGCCGTTCTTTCAGACGCAGGCAGATTGTGTTTTCCTTAAAAGAAGGAATGGTGCCCTGTTTTCCTTACGTATTTACTTTCATGATGGTTAAGAATGTTTCTTTTGTTTCATACCTGTCTCTCTGCAAACGGAGAACACTTTTCTCGTCCTGTAAGTTCGAAGTTTATGGTGTGATTGTGAACTGTTGGGGGGGCTGCAGGTTTCAAAGCCTCCTGCTGATACAATCCAGCAGAAAGAACAGAAAAGAACTTAACCCGAACTGTGACTTTAAGCCAATTACGACATATTTTTTAAAAGAGTTCTTTCTGTCATTGCTAATAATAACTGAAGGTGAAAATAAATTACAGCAATTTAGAGAATGTATCCTTGCAGACATTCACTCAAGCATGGAGCTGGTCTAGGTACAGTTAGAAATATAGATAAATACACAGAGAGATAAAGCTCTCACTTTTTTTCTTTCGACGTATTTTTTCTTTTAAGTTTTATTATCTTACTTTTTCTGTGCATAGACTTTTCTCATTCTTGAATTTATATTCCTAATTAGAAACCTATATTTCATAGATAGACACATTGCTTATGTCCTCATGTTGCAAAACTGGCTCGAGGAGACTCTACGTGAGTTTCAGTTTAGATCTGCTCCACCAGTAGGTGCTGAGGGCCAAAAACAAAACAAAAAAACTGACTTATTCTTCTCTCACCCAAATTTTGCCAACCATTTATGCAAACGGTTTTGGAAAAAATTTAGACTACGACAGCACTAGAATATTGTCCTTTAGTAATATTCATCCACTAAAGAATGAGCTCATCCTTGGTAAGATGACGGCAGGCCACGTTTTCCTCTGGGGGAGTCAACTTCCATCTGGGGTGCCTCCTGCCCCTTCCCCTGTTCTCCCCTCCTTTGCTTCTGCACATCATCTGCTGATAATCACAGGCCATCGGAGGGGAGGGGGGAGGGGCGTGGTACCTGTGGCCCTGGTGCCTGTCAACCCTTTTGTCGTGCTTCCCAGGGCATTTCTGGATGGAAAAGGAGTTTGGGGGATTAAGTGTTGGTAATCCTGATGTTTTGACCTCTAGGGGATATTGTAGGGTTCCTAAAATGTTTCTCCTGCCTGTTACATCAGAAATTATTTAGCTACTCTTTTTTTTTTTTTTTGCATTTAGCTAAATTGTGATCAATTTGTTGAAAAAAGTAAAGAAAACAGTACTATTTCCTGTGGATCCATGTGCATCTCCATCATAAAAGAAGCCCATATTAGCTGACTGGGCTTTTTAAAATGCATGACTGAGTAATTGGGGTTCTGTTTAATAATGGGCAGCGATTTTCTCCTGGAAGACAGGATTCAGGAAATTTTCTTAGGAGACCATGGTCAGAAAGGAATTTTGTTCCTGGAAGAAAAATTACCTTAAAACCACTTGAGGTGTTCGAAAGGCCCAGCACACTGCTTGATACAAAGTGGGCATTTATGAACACTGTCCTTCCCCCATGGCATTGGGAGGGCCAAGATTTCGGAGATGACTTTGGGCATCTCAATGAACCATTATGTAGAACACTATTTATGAATACAAATGGATTAAGTACATCGCTATTTCCACAGATGTATTTTTAGAAACAGTAAAATGATAAATCCTCCTCTTACAAAGTTTCGTGAGGATTTAGAAGAGATTACATAGCTGATTAAATTCACAAAATATCAAGTCCAAATTCCCCTAACAATTGGCAGCGTGCTTGTATGCATGTATTCTGCGCAAGCAAATTTATGTCTTTTTAATAAGGAAAAATAGAACGATGTTGCTTTTACTTGACAGCCGTATCAGAAATTGCTCGGCTAATTACCAATTTAGGAACATAAATGTTCATATCTACTGAGTGTAAGCATTGTCAACTCATTCTTAATAAAAGTGCTGGTTCTTACTAAGTTCATTAATTTTGACAATTAATAACAATAATCGAAAATAAACATCATTCTTCAATTTAGAGTTTTACAAAAGCGCACTGAAGAAAGTCATCAATCAAATGTCCTACTCTGGGGAAACCGGGGAGGATTGTCGTTGACATCCGTCAGCGTGATGTTTACTGTGGTGGTCCCCGATAGTCCCCCCATCTGGCCGCCCATGTCCTTGGCCTGAATCACCACTTGGTACTGCTCCCTGTTTTCTCGATCCATGTTGAGCAAAGCTGTCTTGATGATACCTATGGATAGGAAATTCAGAAGTGGAAAGGAATATATTAAAAAGACTCTATGGAGTCACTTATTTATGCAAACACACACAGATTGTCACCCACAATATGCCTAGCGCTATGCAGATGTCGTCAGTGACATAAAAATAATTATACATAGCCTCTATACTGAAGGAAATGAAAACCACATAGGGAAGAGAGATACATTAAAAAATCCACCTACAGTATAAGGAGAATAAGTAGAAGTCAAATCCTGCAACAGTAGAGAATGTAAGTAGTATAAATATTAAGTGTTATAAGATGACCCAGCAAAGTGTGTGATTGTGGCACAGTGGTCTCCTACTGAGGCTGCCTGGTATATTTTGGTACATTATGAGGAGATTGTTTAGAAAGCCATGTACATGAACTGACTCTTGAGTTTCACTTACTGAATTGGCTAATTGCTCAGCAAATACACCCACCATCATGAATGTTCTGAGGATTTTCTAAACCACAAAACTACGGTCTTAAAAAAACACAGCATCAGTTCTCCATCATCTTTGTCTTGTGTGAACCAAGAGAATTTAAGTTTTCCCAGTGCTTTGAGCGTTAGTTCAACTGGTCCCAGCAGTGACCAACATTTTCAAATCAGGTGAAGTTGACCTCTATTGTTATATAATAATTATAAAATAATTAATTAGAAGAACTTCTGAAAATTTGCCTGATCTCTAGGTAGGTTTTATGCTTAAATTAACAACATTCTTTCAAAAATCACTGGAGATGACCTTTAACCCTCTCTGGAGCGCATTCCCATGCTGAACAACCATGAAACTGAAAATATTTTTATTTTTACTTTTATGGTTAACAAGAATACCTCAGACAACAGGTCAGTTTTAGCCTGTAGTCCTGGCTTCAGGGAAAGTGTAGCTGCTCTCAGTTCTCCAAGCAACAGTATTTCTATTTAAAAGCCTTAGCTTTTTGTTATTTAAGTTGAATAATTCTAAATACTTTATCCCCATTGTTTTTAAACTCAACATTTTCTTTCTCCTTGGGCTTCTTTCTAAGTTTATTACCCCTCTTAACATATCTATTTCCAACTGGACCTGGTCACCTAGGAGGGTTTTTTGCACTAAGAATAATGGATGCTTGAAAAATGTTTCAAAGAAATTCCACTCCTATTATGATAACAAAAATATGTGTAGAATTTACTAGAGAGTACAAATTATATTTACTAAAATAACTCATTCATGCAACCAAAGTTCATTGTTCACTCTGAGCAGGTCAGCAGGTAACTAGACTCATCATAACACTCAGATTTCTGGGATGGAGATACATCTCAGCTTTACCAGTAGAAGTGGGGTTCTTGGGGACCTACTGGAATACAAAGTTCTGGCGACCACATGGGAAGATAAGATGTTGTAGAAAGCTTTATTTCCATGGAATTACATCCCTGAGTTTCCAAGGTCCCATTTCCCTCAGTCTCCCTCAAGGAAGGAGTCCCATTTTGTCTTTAGCTGGGCTAAAATCAGAGCCAGTGTCCAGAGTTTCTGTTCCCTATTGCAGTGGTGTCCAGTCCAGCATCAGGGTAGCTTAGCTTGTGTTCCCGGCTGCAGTCTATCAGTCCATTGCATGTGAGATTTGCAGGGCCACATGGCTATGGGGGGAATACGGGCTAATACAAGGGAGCAGGAATAAGAGAGCCCTAAGAGCCAAGAGCTAAGAGAGAATGGACTCCTTTGCTTAGGAGATTACACAGTCCCAAATTTTCATGGGCTTGCAGTGGCCCCTCACCTTCTGGCCATCCATCTCGGAGCCCAGGTTTGACTGGCAGGCAAGTACCTTCCGTAGGTCACCCCACCTTCACTGGGCATGCATCTACCTTCCTTTTGTTGGACCTCCTTCCTCAGTGATCTCAAGGACTGGGCTAGTGGTTCCCTGGGGAGTGTGAAGTTGCAGTTTCCTGGTGAAGCTGCCCAAATAACATGCGGATAATATCTGGCCTTCACTTTGCTCCTTTCTGTTACTAATAGCTAATCAAAATGGTGTTGTCAGCATTGGCTCCCATCCAGAACCACTGTGGCAAAGTGGAAGGGAACACGGTGGGTTGTACACCATGCCTAAAAGTTCCACTTGGAAGTAAGTCACATCACGGCCACATTTTATTGGCCCAAGTAAATCATACGGTTACATCTAGCTTCAGAGCTGGGTAGAGAAATGCAAACCTACCAAATAACTAGAAAAAGATGAATTGGAATATTTGTAAACAGCCAAAATGTCTATCAGAGGGGATTGGTCTTTTAGCTTTATACCAAACTGGAAGAAAAAAATAAAGCAATGTATCATTTGTTCTGAATATATCATATATAAATATAGTGGATGAAAGATCCATTGTCAGATTTCTTGACTAAAATGATTTGGATGTTATGTTTATAAATATATCTCTGTATTTGGCAGACAAGTCTAAAAAGAATCAATTACACTGATTGTTTTTATTAAACAATATGCTAGCTCAGCGGAGCATGTCAATGAAAATGACAGATTGTAAAAAGAAGATCAAAGAGGAAATCTAACCTGTTTCTGATTCCACTGAAAAATAGGGCTGGCCTTGTAGGATGCTATAGACAACTTTAGCACTGTTCCCATACGTTGGATCATCAGCATCGGTGGCGGTGACTTGCACAACAACTGTGCCTATAACGACAGAACATGACTCGGTTTATTAAGAGCTCACTACAGATCCTAGATATGCACACATAACAAGAAAGCATGGTCTTACTTTTGTACAAAACTATCACAGCGAGGGAGTGAGGAACTTCAATAGTATTTTAGGTTAAAAAGCCTTGGATCCCTCCCTCTGAAGACTGTGGGCACCGTTTATAAACACTGTAAGGATTAGGTTAAAGGGAAGCATGGGGATGAGCATGACTTTGGGTGGAACTGATCTCAATCCACCTCCAAGGGTGGGGTTTGATTGGATTATTGTTATGGCGCCTCTTTTAAGTCATCCAGGCCCGAGTCAACCCGAATCTCGAATTCCTTCGTCCACAGGGATTAGTTTAGGAGTTGTCCACTTGGGCCACTCATGATTTTGCTGGAAATTCGGTCACTCCTCCTGGACTGGAGTGCACCAGAGAGGAGCCTGCATTTGCAGCAGCTATTTCGTGACCTTAGAGATGGCAGCCTGGGACCAGAGATGACTGGACAGAGAATTAAGGAGAAATAGCTAGAACCACAATCAAACCATGTCCAAAGCTCACTTTATTTTTGGATTTAAGTAATGTGACCAATAAGTACTTCTATTGTTTAAACTAGGTTGAATTGGGTTTTCTGTTACTTGCCAAGAAAAACATTCTTGAACCTTAAAAGAGGTAGTATTGGATTAAATAAAGAATTCATTGAAACAACAGAGGACATACATCTGAAACCTATAATACCAAAAAATGTTATGAGTGTCATTAAAGGTACAAAGAACTATGATGTTTGAGATTAGCATTCTTATTTTAGGTTATTATGGGTAGTATCTTTAACCCCCCCATAAAATTTCATGCAAAATTTTATGTATAGGCTTACATGTATATTTCTCTAAAGTTCCATAGATTTTTTAAAAATTTATTTATTTTTGTTACAGATGTTTCTCCTTTTTCCCTCACTGATTCCCACCCCCCGCCCTGTCCCCAGCTTTGTTGTCCATGTCCATTGTTCATGCATACATGTATATAAGTTCTGTGGTTTATCTCTCCCCACCACCCTCCCTTCTGGGGATTGTCAGTCTGTGCCCCACTTCCATGTCTCTGGGACTACCCCATTCCTCAGACTGTTATGTTCATTATATTCCGCAAATAAGTGAGATCATATGATACTTGTCTTTCTCTATTTGGCTTGTTTCACTCAGGATAATACTTTCCAGGTCTCTCGATGTCATCTCAAAGGATAAGAGATCTTTCTTATAGCTGCATAGTACTCCATTGTGTATATGTACCACAGCTTTGTTATCCATTCGTCTACTGATGGACATTTGGGCTGTTTCCAAATCTTACCTATTATAAATAGTGCTGCTATGAACATAGGGGTACATATATTCTTTCTGATTGGTGTTTCAGGTTTCTTAGGGTATATTCCTAGAAGTGGGATCACTGGGTCAAATGGCAGTTCAATTTTTAATATTTTGAGGTAACATCATATTCTTTTCCATAGTGACTGTATCAGTCTGCATTCCCACCAGCAGTGTACTAGAGTCCCCTTTTCTCCACACCCTCGCCAGCACTTGTTGTTTGATGATTTGTTGATGGCAGCCATTCTGACAGGTGTGAGGTGATACCTCATTGTTTTAATTTGCATCTCTCTGATGATTAGTGATGTTACTGGGCATGTGCCCAGATCGGGCATTGAACTGGTGACCTCTTGGTGCATGGGTCAACGCTCAACCACTGAGCCACACCAGCCGGGCTACAGTTCCATAGATTTTTGATTCACAAAGCAGTCTGTGACTTCCAAAAAAGGTAAGACTCTTGTTTATGATTATTTTATGGATGACTTTTGGTATTCATAGTAGACACGTAGTAAGCATACTACCTCGGTTCTCCTGTCTATGGGGCAGAGGAGGGACATTTAGGGAATACTGGAATCTTCACTTTTTAATACCTAGCCAGTACCATGTACTGAAGAAATACATCGTACTGTTTAAGGCTGGATGCTCTGGACGCAGCATCCTGGTGCATGAGATACAGCGTGCGTCCTTTTAATATAGAAGGACTTGAGGAGGATGAGAACATCATGATTGTGGAATGAGAGCTAATAGAAGAAGTCAACAAACATGTTCTTATTTGACATCAATACCAAATGTAATAGCTTTTAGAATATGACTGGACATTTTGAGCAACTGTCAGTAGCCAGATATTGTACTGGGGGCTGTGCACTTGCTTTGTTCTTTCATCTTCATGATAACTCTTAGAAGTTGACATTTATTATTTATTTCTTGGAGATACAAAACTGGAGGATCAGAGAAGTCAAGTCATTTACCCAATACCACACTGCTGCTTATTAGGAGAGAGAATGTCAAACTTAGGTCTATTTGACACCAACATTCATTTTGACTACCCTGTTATTGTTTCTTTATATAATTTTTTTAAGATGCCTTTATATATCAGAGTAAGGATTGATATCATATTAATGTATGATAATGATGAATATCAAGATAACCATACCTGTGTGCAAATTAGAAAAAGTCTTCTCTTTCTCAAAACATGTTTCTGTCGGCTACCCCCAAATATTTGTATTACATATTTAATTCTGTAATGGCTTCAAACAAGACAGAAACAGACCCATAGATAGAGTAGGGGGCTGGGTAAAAGAGGTGAAGGGATTAAGTGAAAAAAATAAAACAACAACAACAACAAAACTCATAAGCAGACAACAGTGTGGTGATTGCCAGAAGGAAAGGGGGTGGGGCAGGCAGACAAGGGTAAAGGGGGATAAATGGTGTTGGAGAGAGACTTGACTTGGGGTGGTGAGTGCACAATACAATAACAGCTGATTTATTGTAGAACTATGCACCTGATACCCATGTAATTTTATTATCCAATGTCACCCCAATGATTTCAATTAAAAATTATCTCTCTGTTAAAACACACAGTCAGTGGCACCCCTGGTAAGTTGTACAGTGACAGCTAGCACATCAGTGATGGTTGCCCTGGTGGTGCTGATGGCAAGACTGTCCTTTATTAATTCTTCCTGTTTTTCCCACCAAGTGGGCAAATATTATCCCTAACAAATCTTCCTCTTAAAGAATTCTAATCCTCCTCTTGGCTTGGTGATCATCTGTGATTTAAAGAAAAAAACAAAACAAAGTGGCTTCAAGTAATGAGATGAGCAACTTCGTGAGAAAAATTTAAATGTTTTACAATCGTTTCCAGGGATTAAATATTTTCAAAGTCTTGGAACTGTGAACTGAAACAGCTCTGATCGATGACTCAGAATTACAGAAACGTTTTTATTATATAATTTAGCCCTTTTGAATTTGACACTGAGTGAACATTAAAATAACCCTCACACAAGTAGTTTAATATTTGTCATTGTCTCCCATGAAGTATATTAATGTGGCTAAGAGTGACGTCAGTAGAATTCTTTTTCTTAGTTGAAATTCTGTCTACTTTCTCCCAGTCTAAGCAAGTGAAATGCACACTTATGAACATTAAAATTGGTAGAATGGTGCAGAAAATATTAATTTACCACATTAATGTTACAGTCTCTTAATTTCCACCAATTAGTAAAGAATGTATCCCCTAGATGTCATCTGCATACTTTTTATAGATTATAGATTACTCTCCAAATATACAGTTTCTTAAAGCAACAGTCACCACTTTTTCATCTGGAATCCAGGCTTCCGTTTTCCATTGGAGAGATTCTCACCTGGAGCAAGGCCAACATGGGCTGAGAGAAACAGAGGAGACTGCTGTTTTCTCGCCCCAGACAGAGTGGGAATTTTTAGTGGGAGAACAAGTAGATGTCATGGTCTCTCTCTCTCTGCCACTTTCCATACCCCCAGAGAAATGTAGTTTTCTTAATAATAAAGATAAGTTGAGACTAGAATAATATCAGAAAACCCTGGGTACTTACAAAAAGGACATAAATAGATTGTTTGAAATGTGATACTTATAGGATTTGGCACCTATATGTACTCAGCTCAGTGACTTCGCTCCTAGGCCTCCTTACTGACGAGCTAGAGCAGAAACACTGTGTGGCTGTGGTCACAGCTCGCTCACCGACATCGGACATCTCGGGCACGGTGGCCGTGTACAGCTCCTTGGTGAAGATCGGCTCGTTGTCGTTGATGTCGTGGATCTTGATGATGAATTCAGACTCAGGCTCCACGGGTCTCCCTGTCTTTCTGTTTACCGCTTGAGCTCGAAGAATGTAAACGGGTTTTTCTTCCCTGTCCAGCCTTCTGGTGGCCTGGATATCCCCTGTGTTTTCATTGATAATGAAGAGATCTCCTGCTCCATCTCCTGAAAGGATATATTTAAGTGATCCATCTCCTCTATCCTGGTCTGAATGTAACTAGTGTAGAAAAAAAAAATTAAAGAAAGTAAAAGTCAAACATGAGATCCTAAACAGTTTGTCTTACGATGCATGCTTTCATTCAATCCTTTCCAAGGGGTGCAGTTTTTTTCTTTTACTGTTACTTAAATCCCCCAGAGTAAATACCATTCGTTAACGAACATGTTTCCTTATACTCATAAAAATTTCCAGAACTGAAACAGAGCTTGGAAAAAATGTGGTAATCCTTACTTTGAAGAATAAAAGACTATAAGCCAGAGCAATCACGAGATGTCCAAGGACATATTAGACTGGCTGGAATGAAACTATTTTTACTACAGCTTTTAGATTCTACTCGAATACTCCTCACTTTTATGCACATAGACACACTAGGGAAGCAGTGTATTATTGATAAAAGGATTTTGGTTTGTGACTCAGAGAGACTAGGGTACATTATGTCTCTACACTTTACTGAAGGGAGTCTAATGTGATGAAGATTATAATAAGTTTTCTGCATAGATATGAACTTTATGTATTTATTTATGACTCAATGAATGAAATTCAACTGGAAACATTTGAAAAACAGTGTAAGTGCTACTATGGGCGTTGCCTTGAAAACCCCCTGACTAGATAATTTACAAGGTCATTTGGAATGAGAACATTTAATACTTAGATTTTAGTTTAATAAGGGGAAGGACTTCTAAAAAGTACAGCCAGCCTAGAATTGCATAGTCGGCCTTAGGAAGTAGTGAGGTCCTGCTCCTGAAGGTAATCAAGCAGGGGCCCTAGTCAACGCGATGGGGCTGGGTAACAGGTTGAATTAAGTGAATGTGAAGATACCTTTGAAGTAGAAGAGAGTGATGGTAATTTGGGAGGTAGCCCATGTTACCTAGCCCAAAGATTCTTTCCAGAGAGTTGACTCCCTGTTATTTCCCATGTTCTCTTTTCCCCTCTTCAGCAAAAGTTTAGGCAGTATCTCATAGGTCTGCTAATCTAACCCTACTTACAAATTTTCAGAAAGTGCTCTTTATTGATGAGAACTATTTTCAAACCCCAGTTATAAATATCAGCTGCATACATGCCCTGGCCAGGTGGCTCAGTTGATTGGAGAGTCATCCCATACACCAATAGGTTGTAGGTTTGATTCTTGATCAGGGCACATACCTAGGTTGTGGGTTCGATCTCCAGTCAGGGTATGTGTGGGAGACAGCTGATCAATGTTTCTCTCTCATATCCATGTTTCTTTCTCTCTCCCTCCTTTTCTCTCTCAAATTAATAAACATATCGTCAGGTGAGGATATATATCAGTTGTGTACAGACCAGTTAGTTCCAGTGGGAAGGCTGCTAATCTCTACCTCATTTCAACTTTGTCTAAACAGGGTAGGGGCCATGTCACAACAGGCATGGCAATAATAGCAACAAGTAAACAAACTTCGTGCCCTCCTGCTTAATACTGCAGGGAATGCTCACAGTAGTGTCTAGAAACATATTTGAAAACAAAATTTCAGGACAAAAAGGGATTTTTAAAATAACGTAACCCTGCCTTTCTAAAAGTGTATCACATGACTATCATTTATGCAAAATACTGACGCAAAAGGGTTCTGTGGCCCAACGAGTTTGGGAAATACTTCATATTCTGCCTCTTTCTTGGAGTCACCCCATGTCCATTAACATATGAAAGACTGTGAATGTCTACAGCTCAAAATTGTAGTTGACTTCCTTTATTCAATCTGGCTTTTCCAAACTCTCTTATGTAAAGAAGGCTTTCTGGGTGTGCTCCATATTGATATTTATTCCCCATAACAGTTTTCCAAGAAACACAGTTTGGGGAACATGAGCTAATTGAATTCATCATCGTAGAATCAAGGAAACTGAAGTTCTCTTTTATGTCGTGTTTCCAAAATCACGCAGCTCAAGTGAAAGCGTCGGAAGTATAGAATTTGAGTGCAAGAGAGGCCTTATAGATTATCGGGTACGGCCTCCGGTTTTTAGAGATGGGGAACCGTGTCCAATGCCACACAGCTAATGCTGGTTAATAGCAGGGCTGGAGAATATCGTTCATGCAATTAGTAGCCTTGAAAGCAATTTGACAGAAAGAATGAAAGATAAATGCGAACGGGGAGGAAATTGCTTAGAAGTGAGGCACACACAATATGAAATGTAAAACAGGAGGACTCCATGATTTGTGTAATGTGATATGCTAAGAAAACGTTGAAACCATGATTACACAGAAAGAGCCACTGGGGAAAGTTTAACTTTCCACCATCAAATTCTAATGACTGGAGAGAGCTCTTAAAAAGCTATTTCATTAACTCATGAGTAAGGAAACCAACATCACTGCCTATGGGGTCCTGGCTCAGGGCAGCCATGGTTAGATCCTGGCACAGTGCAGGGCCCTGCACCTGCAGCCCCGAGTAAGGTCTTGCTCATTCTTTTTCCTCCTCAGATATAGGATCGCAGCAGGGTCTACTCGCCCGCCTGTGCCAGGTTTCTTATTCGTAAAATGAGGATGATAAGAGCTCCAGGACAAGGCTGTTGGGGATCTCATTAGAGCCAACATATAAATATGACATTAATCACTATGTGATAAAAGCGGATAGGTTTTATAAATTACAAAGCTCCTTCCAAATTTAAGAGATCGTCTATATTTTTAGCTCTTAGTTCATAATAAGCATATGTCTGCTCTTATTTTGACTTTGAGAACTTTGTCGTGAGGACTCTGAAAATGCACTTTTGCAAACACACGGTATCTAAGGTGAAATCTGTCACCGAAAGCTAGCATTCTCCCACCTGGGGACAAGTGCCGCGTTTCCGTGTGATTTATTGTCCCCTGCGTGCCACTAGCTTATAGACTCCCCTTGGCCTGCTCTATCACCGCTCTCGATTGTAATTGTTGCACACTTAGTAGGTGAATACCACATCTGGTCACAAGATTTATTCAGGTAAAAGTAATCAGAAACTTATTTCTAGCTGTCAGGAGAGACCATTTCGATGACTTATAGATCAAGCACCCGAGGCGACAGGGAAGGGCCGCAGAGACGCCAGCTCAGAGGGCGCCCCGGGATTGCCCCGTCGATCCGACTCTGATGGATCAATATTGGAAAACCAGTGGGGAAACGCACCTCTTCACTCAGGCGTCGCGGGGTAACAAACCAGTTTAGCCTCAGCCCTCCACGTGCCCGGTGTGTCTGATGGGCTGCATAGCAACAGAAACCTCGGGAGCTTTTGTGTAATTCTTTCCCCACCACCCTCTCCTTCCCGAACTCCCCGGGCCAGTTCTTCTCCCTCTTCTTGGGGAAAAGAGGGAATGTAAGACATCAGTGCCAGGGAAAGGGGTGGTGACAGGCAGACATTAGGGGTTTATTGAGCACTTAGATTTTAATTGGATTCTTCCTTTTGTGATGTCATTCATCACGGCCACTGTAAAGGCAGAAGTTAAACAACAACAAATAAAAGGTTGTAGGTTGCCGCAGGCATGTTCTCACTAATTTCAGTTTAATGTGGCTGTTCCATTAAGTTTAATCATCTGGTTCACTTTTTAACGATTCGCCATCAAGTAAAAATTATCCGCTTCCCTCGGAAAGTCACATCTCATCTGACGCCGGCAGGACTTTTACTACTGTACCTGTGGCCTTTGGTTCCAGAAGCAGCGCTTGGTCTTTCTGTTGATTTATTTTCATTTTGTAAGCGCAGCACCTTGACAAATAGATACAGGGGCTTGGGGGGTGGACGTGGCCCCACAGAGAGTGTCACCGAGACATTGCTGGCATCCTTTTACCTGCCACTTGTGCCAACTTTCAATTTAATGTTGACTCCAATTCGAAGCTCTAACGCCAACGGTACGGACTGCGGTGGTTTATGGCAGTCGCGATTGCTGCCCCTTTCTCAGTACTTGTCACTGGGTCACTGTGCGTCAAAACCACACTGAATCCTTCAAGTGTATGTTTAGACGGAAAACGGAATCTGAACATCAGCTCACCTGCATGGCACACACGGGAAAGAGCCTGCAACAGCCTGAAGGGGGCTCAGGGAAGGGATTACTGATTTTTTGCTGAAATAAAGAAAGTTGGATTGTGGCCAGTGTGCTTGCAGAGTGCCATGCAGGTGTGGTGTGGCCCTTTAGGAAACGGAATGTTTCCACTCGGAAATGTCAGAGGAGAGTCAGAGCACAGCTGCGGTGACAAGATACTGTTCGACTGGGACGAAGGTGGAGATACTGGAGATAACGGCAGAGAGAGAGCGCCTTTGTGTTAAACAGCTTGACTATTATTTTAAATTAGGAAAATAAAGATACAATCAAGTTAGGACAAATTGAGGTTTAACTGAATTCAATATATATGTACACGTACATTTGTATGCATATATACATCTCTCTACACAATGCATGTATAAGTAATACTAATAAGTATACTTAATGTTGTGACGCCTGTGAAGGGCTTGTTGAGTAGAGTTCACGTCTGGGGGAATTTTAACCGAGCTTGAAGTACACGGCAGGGATTAGAAGCAGATGTATGTTATGCTTAGCAGAGCGCCTAGCTGCAAAAAACACTCTTCAGTAAAGTCTTCTTGCATCATAAACATGCTGTATTCAGAAGGCAGATTCTATTTATTTTTTATTTTTTAAGTTAAAAATCTTTATTTTTTTAAAAATCTTTATTGTTGAAAGTATTACAGATGTTCCTCCTTTTTCTCCCATTGACCCCCTCCTCCCCACTCCTGCCCCCCTCTCGCCTTTTCCCACACTGTTGTCTGTGTCCATTGGTTATGCATATAAGTTCTTTGGTTTATTTCTTCCCACCCCCAACCCCTTTCCCTGTGAGGTTTGTCAGTCTAGCAATGAATTTTTACTTCTTAATCCCTTCAATTTTTTCACCCATTTCCCCAACCCCCCTCCCATCTGGCAACCAACAAAATGTCCTCTGTATCTATGAGAATGTTTCTGTTCTGCCTGTTCATTTTGTTTGTAGATTCCATTGTCGATAGATATGTATTCATTGCCATTTTGTTTGTTCATATATTTT